TAATCAGGTGGTCGTTGAGGTATCTTTGCTCAAGGTTTTATAATATTTTAAATTTTATTAGATTTCAGAGCCAGGTCGGAAATGATCTACAGTCCGGATCCGGAAATTTTGGACTACACGCTGTCCCTGTTCCTCTTCATTAGGGTGTTTCTGCAGGTTATGCATATTACCGATCATTATGTAACAATTGTCTATCCGAGCCATACTGAAAATTTCCAAACTTCGAACGAAAATATCTCGATAACTACTTGTCTAAAATCACTATAGAATTTTTATTTTAATTCTATGAATCAATAAATTAAAATAAAAAATTTCCATCGATTTAAATTAGCTATTAAGTTATTATCGCTCAAAGTTTAGCCGCAGTCTGTTTTGATAATCGGCTAAAAATTTTTTTATCGACGAAATTTTTTTATTTTAATTATATGGATTCATAAAATTAAAATTTTATCAAGTTAATATGTGCAATTATATACCGAGATATCATCGCTCAAAGTTCAGCTTATCAAAATTAAGACTGTGGTTAAGTTTTTCCAAACTTTGAGCGATGTAACTCAATAACTACTTATCTAAAATCGATTAAAATTTTTCTATTTAATTATATTGATCCATAGAATTAAAACAAAAAAACCTATATCGATTTTAGATAAGTAGTTATTGAAATAATTTTGTTTGAAGTTTGAAAATTTTCATTTTGGCTAGACTATTGTTACATAATCGGCAACATGCACAACCAAGCACAGATTTCGTAAATGCGTTTCAAAAGAGCGTATTTGGTAAGTCGCGTTAATAATACTAATAAAAGTTTAGAAATAATCAGCAAACTTTCCCATTTAGTATTCATTCTTTCGCTGTAGTTTTTGTTCAACTTGAACTTATTTGCGCAATACAAACTAAAAAAGGAAATCGAATTTTGTAAATAAATTATGCATAAAAATATAAGTTTAGGATTAGGACGTTAATGTAAAATTTCATCTCCATCATTTTTTATTAATCCACCAAGGTCGATTTAAATATCAGTTTTGAGTATTTTTCTTTTCTTCGTCTTTCGCACGTGTTCGGATTCTTTGTCGGGCTGATCCGGAATACCCAAAATTTATGCTCCTTGTTGTTATTTCATTTTTAGAGGTTTGTATTATTCGCGCAACTATGAGGATATACCATACACTACATTATTAACAACTGATTTGTGGCCTTATGAAGCAGGTATAAATATATAAAATTAGCAGATTATTGATTATCAAGTATGTTTTACTACATTCTTGGTGAAATAGAAGAACTCATGCACAACACTAATTATAGTAAATATTGTAATTTACCCAATTAGTCTGTGTATATATCAGCTGTGTGCGAAAGATTCCGGTTTAAAATGTCCAAAAGTATAACCTGGAGATACTTCGTCGTTTTCATCATCCTTGGCCTCAGCTTCGGTATATTTTACTACTTTTCATACTACCTTCAGCCCTTAGAATCGACAGTACCGCTATTGGAATCCATAAATGATACCGTTACCAAATCTCCTTCAGGCGTGGATCAGAACTTAACGATCTTTGTCGGGATTCTGACTACTTATGAGAAGATCGAGGTTAGGGAGAGCTTGCGCGAGCTGTACACACATAATAACGACGCTCTGGCGCGGTATCTCGGAGTTAAGAAATCGCCCGTAACGATTAGATTTATCCTAGGACTGCCAGAGGATGAATATAAAGATGAGCTGGAGGAAGAGTCTATAACGTACGGGGATATTGTTATTTTAAATATTGAAGAGAACATGAACGAAGGAAAGACATTTGAATATTTCAAATGGTTTGCTAAGCATGTGAGTATTCTTGTCTTGTTATGAGGCTGCATACGTCAATAAGCATTCATTATTTTGAATTCATTTAGAGAGAGGATAATTATATGCACAAATTGGACGATGACACTTTCCTCCACCTTATTCATTACTACCGTGACTTTCAAGACTTACCGAGAGAACGTGTATACTATGGCAATTGTTTAGGAGATAGACCTGGATCATATAGGTTTATGGGAGGTGCGTTTCTTATTTCCTTTTATCATCAATGCTTCATGCACTTTTTGATCTTTCTTTACACCAAAATAAAGGTGCGGGATATACACTCTCCCGCGACCTCGTTATAGACATTGCTGAATCCGACTGGGTTAGTTCATTTATCGAAGGCGCTGAGGACCAGCTAGTGGGTGAGTGGATATGTCATGTGGCTAGGGAGAAGAAATATTTCGTGCACTATGTCGGCTTTACTGATTGGAAACCTCTCCGTCAAAACCCCTATCATGATTTTGACAAGAAGCTGGACTTCAACTCCCTTGTCGAGACCATCATGATCCATCGCATAAAGAACATTGAGGATCTGAATGCCATTAAAGATGTGTACACCGAATACGAAGAAGGATTGCCAATAGTCAGAGTCATTCGGAATTCAACGACCGAAAACCTGGTTACAAAAAGGGAGATTATTCCAACATGCTGGACCGCACTTGAGAGGGAGAACTGGAATCAATCTTTGCAGAATACTTATAAAAACTGGTTCTATGAAGCTTGGGGCTTTAAGGAGGGGATGTGGTATGGGTATTATGGGCCTGTGGAAGATATAGAGATTACCGAATAGAAATTTTATTACAGTAAAACCTCTATAAATGCATGCACTTGAAACCAAGCTTTAAATTGAAAACATGCAATTAGAGAACAATAAGAAAAATGCATTTATAGATATCATCTATGTATTTAGACCAGAATGTGAGTGTGCATTTAGAGAGGGTATGCACTTATGTTATGGAGGTTTTACTGTACATACCATAATTTCAAAATGTCAAACATGTCATAATATTGGCCAAAAATTATATAATGATTATTTTTAGCTAAATAATAAGATAAAACAATAAGATTAGGGCGTTGACATTTATCACGTAATATCCGTTTACTATGAGGGCTCCCTCCTCCACTTAAGATCCAATATGATTGGCTAATTTAAAAAGAATCTGATTATACTAATTTCTTTGCGTAACGTAAGATATTGATATAGTACGCGCTTAACCCCGCCTTACAGTTTATAATAGTTTTAATAAAATTATAGAATAGTTTAATTAAAATTAATTTAATAAATTATAGTAAGTTTAATAAAAATTAATTTAACCAAATTGTATAATGATCAATCAAATTATGAATTATATTTCTAGACATATTATATAATAATCTTAGCTAAATTTAAAAATAGAAAAATATTATATGGGTGCACTCTTATTTTTAATAGCTGCCAAATAAGCATAATATTAGGGTAAAGATAAAAATAGGATTAAGTTATAGTTGGGATCAGAATAAAATTGCGAGAGAAGAATTTTTGGTTAGTTATACAACAGGTTAATTTAATAAAATTTTGGGATATAGTGGGAGTGCTCCAAATGCATACACTATATAACAATGTTTGTTTTACTAATCGTTTTAGTAGATTAGATATTAACAACACAAAAATGCGAGTTATCAGTGTTTGCAATTTATATCGGCCAAATAATTAAATTGGCTGTTGGCCGATAATTGCCTGCCGGCCAAAAAATGCCAAGATTTGTGATTGACAATTGGCAGCAGCCAAATAAAAATATTGGCCTAATAGCGTGGCCAATTGGTCAAATATACGGGCATACATCTAATATAAAAAATCTAATATTTTAACTAGTTATATGTATAAAAGGTAACTAACACACTAACATTAGTAAATTCATCACAATGATGGCCTGTTGTATCTTATATATCTTTATAGAGTTTTTAGATTCCCTGTGCTATATATATATATATAAATTGTGAAGGATAAAACCAATCCGAATCTCAAAATATGGGTCTCACAGAAATCAAATCAATTCACTAGAGACCAAGCTCTATCTAAACCCTAATGGTATGAGGCTCGAAAGAGGTGCGGAAGACTTGGTCCGAGTTATTAGGGCCAAATAGAGCTCTAGGTTACATTACGAAGGCTCTAATTCGGGATCACGGGACTATAGGATAGTTTGGGAATTAGGAGAACGAACTTTTTATGAACCATATGCGCAAAATGTCACTGACTTTATTCGAGGCAAACTCTTGGCCTTTATATACATTCTTTGACTATTATCTAATTTGCTAATTCTATCTATAAACATATAAATGTATATAACAGATCCAACTAGTGCTCGGCAAAATCAAACTTTTTTTTGACACTCAAATACATGTGATGGGCTGACTTTTAAATCAATACAGCAATACAGTATTACTGTATTATCGCATTACCATATTTGTATTGATTTAAAAGTCAGATCATCACATGTATTTGAGTGTCAAACAAAAGTTTGATTTTGCCGAGCACTAGATCCAACATATCTAACATATCTAACTGATATAGCAGATATATCTAACATATCTGTTGGATATGTTAGATCTGGCAGCTCTTTTCTGCCCACCTTGATCTACTATGCCAAAAATCATTTTGAGCCACAATTCACCTTTCACAATGTACATACATATGTTGTAAAGGGTTCCCGGGCACCCTATTATTTTTTCTTTATATTATTCTATTTTATTGTTATTTTTATTATGTATATGAACTCAGCATAGATAGAAATTACATTGAATATAGTTCTTATTGTAAACTTATTCCCTTTCTGTCACTTATGTAGCTTATAACATTAAACCCATTTATTGCACGGGTCTTATGTGACAACCTGTGCCTTTTCATTTACTTATTGGCACGGGATTGCTACGTCAGACACCGTGCAATAAGATAGTTATTGTATGGGTATGTTGAA